TCTCCCTCTCTTTCTCGTATATTTCCAGCTTCTCTCTGCACCTCGTCATCCCCGCCACAATTTATAGATCTCTCCCTCCTCTCTTCTCTCCTGTTGTCATGTCTCTAAATCTGCCACCCTCTCTTAATTCACTATATCTCCCCCTGGTCTTACACTGCTCTACCTCCCAGCTTTTCCTTTCTCCTCATCCTTTTTAAAAAAAAACTTTTTTCAGCATTATTGCTTGCTGTCCCATGTGTTATGTTAGTTTCATCTCTTTCCAGTAAACCAGAGGACCTCGGCTTTAAATATTCTTCATAAAAAAAAAAAAGAAAAAGCAAGTAATTCTAATTACTCAGCTTCACAACAGTTCACTGAATCATTTTTACACGTAGGCAGGAGGTTCAAAAACTGCTACAACTTTCACTACAGTATAACAGGGTTTCAGTAAACCACAGGAGTACAGGTGACAAAATAAATGAGCTTTAGCACAGAGCAATTACAAAAGAGGGAACAGCACTAACTCCCTCCACACCTTGCCACTCCTTTATCCTCTTCCCTTTCCTGTCTTTACTCCCACTGTGATTTGTCTTTCCTCTCTTCTCTCTTCCTACCTTCAGTACCTCCTGTGAATTCCTCTTCTTCTTCCTCGCATTTTCTTTCCTTGTTCTGTCATTATCTTCCCTAGCTGATAATAAGACAAAATACAGGAGCCTGCTGAATGAACACCCCCGAGTATAAAGGATGTGGTTTTGGTGGGTGATCCTGAATATATAAACCTGCAACACACTATTTCCAAAATGCTAAAATATCTGTGATTTCCAGAGAGTGAAGGATCAGACTTTGTCTTCTAGCCCTCCTCCCCTCACCCTGCTAATAGATGGCCGCTGATGCTCAGTGGACAGAGACGTTCTGCTGCCAGTCCATCTACCTGCTGGTCATTTCTGCACGACATAAGCTTCACACTATAAATCAACACACACACACACACACACACACACACACACACACACACACACACACACTCTGACGGGGTATCGGTCCAACGATTGATGCACACCTTACTGCTAAACGGCAGAGATAATTAAACCCATGCATCCCCCTGTGTGTGAGTGTGCATGCCTGTGTGTGAGACAGGGATATTGCTCCGCTGTTGCATTGTCCAAAATACAGCCTATTACATGTCAGACATCCTGGACAGCAATGCTGCTCCAACTCCTCCCGTGCGCACCACTACACTGCAAACGCACAATTTTTTGTCATCGGCCTCGCATACAAAAACACACGTACAATCTCCCTTTCTCCAAAAACACTCTGAGAATAAAAAGAGAGGGGGAGAGAGAGGGCAGGAGGGAGGGAGAGAGAGAATGCACCTGCTGGGCTGTAAAACACTCAGACAAACAGCGTCTGTGTCTGGGAAGACTTGAACAAATGGGAAAATTATACAGTGGAACCAAAACGGCCCCCTTTCACCCAAAGGTGCTTTAACCCACCCCGCTGATCTGAATTCTTGGAGCATCTATCTGCTTTTCTGCCTTTTCATTCAGGTTTGTTTTCTTTGGCTTCGTATTTCACACGTTTAGACACACATGCACGCAAAGACACTCACACACACCTTTTCTATGTAAAGGCATGGATAGATAACTGAATGACCCACAACTGCTTCTGTATGAAGAGACATTCAACATTCTGAGACATGTCTGAGAATTGATTAAATCAAAAAACATATAATAACCACAAAATAATGAGTAAAACAGAACAACAGCAAAGAGACTTTGAGACACAACGCCACCTAAAAACCAACACATGCATGCAGCCACAAAAGAACCAGGACTCGTGTGGATTTGTACCAACTTCATCATGTTTCAGATGGGAATCTGATTCAAAGCAAACCCTCTCATATCATACTGTCATTGCTAATGATGTACGTATACTTGCTTGTACTTGCCATGAAACATCACCTGTGTAAAATATGTTGGGGTCATATTGATGACAAGCTAGGCTAGAAGAAAAGTGTCCAATAAAGTAAGCAATAGTGAGCAGAGAAGGGCGATCTAGATGACTGTATCATTCCTGCTTTCATACAGTATGAGTGAGGACGCAGATAACTGCTCTGTATTTCTTTTTCTGTCACAAAGGACGGTTATTAGAACCGCTGGTTTCTGTAGCCTGAATGCTCAAGCATTCCCGTTATTTCAAAGCCTTTGAGATCAACCCCACTTCTTCATCATTTACCTCACATTTCCTCTGACAGCTCTTTGAGATTCACTATAGGATCACACCAGATTTTTTTCTTTTACATGGTCATTTGTACAGAAGCAGCCACAGCCAGTTTCCCTCATCCCCTCATCAAGTTATTCTTCCTCGCTATCACTCCATCTTCTTAGGCTTAAAACGTATTTTTTTTAAAGTCCTGAATCATTTGAACTCTCACCTGTGTCTGAAAATATTGTGAGAAAGAAAGTGAGAGTTGATTGTAAAATGCCTCCTCTTGCTTTTAGACTTTTATAAACACACAGAGTAACTTTTATTTTCTCACAGGTGTTTTCTTACAGGCCCTCAGGAGTGTCTTCAGATGTCTGTCTGTTTTTCTATTTTTGAATCGTTTCTTTACAAGAATAAATGTTGACATGTTTACAGGCAGTGATAAGTCACAGTGTTGAATTAGTAAGTAAATGGAGGAATCTTCCAGAAACAAATGTAAGCTTGTTTTAATCCTGTTTGCTCCCTTTTTCGCTGACTCTCCGTGTGTTTGTCCTGTGCTACATCTCCGGCTGAATGCTCCTGCTCCCACGAGAGACAGTCTTTCACTCACGATGCCCGGCTTTTAGCGCACTTGTGTTACTTTATCCACACACTCCTGCGGTTTGATGAATGAATAAAGGAGAGTCTGATGGCCTCATGCTGGGTTCATGCACCAAAATAGTCAAATCAACGTGGAACTGACTTTCTCCCCTTCGCTGTGACTTCAGACCCCTCCTGTGTTTACCCCGGCTCCTGGCTAATTCATGAATGCACACACCATCAGACGGCACGCACGCGACCCCTCTGCTTGTCGTTTTCTCTCTCTTTCACTCGTGCGTAAAAACGCTCTCTGCCACTCGGTCTCTCACCTCTCACAAACACCCACGGACCAAACGCGCGCGCACAGTCGAGCTTATAACTCGCTCTCTTTTCGTTCCAGCTTCTCTCTCTCTCTCTCTCTCTCTCGCTCTCTCTCGCATTCACGCAAACAGCCCGTGAAGTAAACTCGTCGCTCATGTGCGCACTAAATACAAAGGTAGAATCGTCCTACCTGGTGTTTCACAGTAACTGACCCAGAATCCAGCGGCGCAAACACACACTCTTGACCTGACGAAATGTTTTGAATGTGCTGAATAAATCCCACCTCTGGTCCTCTCCCTGCGGCTCCTCTCCGCCCGGTGCAGCCAATTTCGTCAGCTCTTTGAACTGCTGGGACGGAGGACTGATAGAGGAAGCACGGGGGGTCGTTTCGTCTTCTTCAACCAGCCAAACAACAGCCTCTAACAGGGCAATGCTGTCTGAAAAACAATGTAATCTCTTTCGTCTTCTCTCCCTCCGACCTCCTGGAGTTGGAAATCTTAATCTGTTCCAGTTAACCGCAGTTACGCATTCTCTTCTTTCCTGTTTTCCTCTCCCCCGCCCTCCGTCCGTCCCGCTCCCTTCTTTCGGGACGGTAGTAAGACAGAGATGAGCAGGTAGACCTCCGTGTTCGGTGTGTCTCTGTCTCTGTCCGGGCAGCGGTGTGGAAGAGTAGCTCTACTTTGCGCAGCCAAAAATAACTTCCAATCTCCAAACTGGAATCTCGCAAGCACGTGCACTAAAACAATCCCTGCTAAACCCTAATGATGGTTTTATATAAGCGGGGTCATATTAGACAAACATTTTATAGCATCTATCGGTACTTTCTGACTTTACTGCTTCCAGGACTAGACTCACAGTGGCGTCAGTGCAGCCATGGTATCCAGAGTAAACATGATCATGTTTTTAATATTTGTAATATTTATACAAAAACTTTTATTTTTAGTCCGTAAGATGAATCCGAAGTTTTCCAGCAGGGAACTCTTTCAATTCAACGCAAAAGCAGTGAGAAAACAGGGAGAGAAGTCGACCTTATTGATCAGGTAATATATCAGAATAGTTTTATTTGACAGAGACCGTCTTCTATGAGTCGATTAATCATTTATCATCATAGAAGTGATGTTCAAGAAGCGTTAGAGGCTACAGTGTAACAAACACTTTTCCCTCTGAACCCCCAAGTCCAAGTTTGCCGGTTTGATAACGTCCCGCGGTCAATCAACTGATCAATAAAAGCGGTTAGTCTATATCCGGGTAATAATCGATCATATAGAACACGAGATTTCCAGTCTGAGTAAGTTTGTCTTCTCTGCTCTTTATATTTTAATCCAACTGCAAAGGCGTTTTTGGAGACCACCCCCGTTCTCCATTTGTCTCCTCAGCTTCCACTTCTCCTCCTCGCTCTGTACTTTTCTCGTCTCAAATGACTCCCTCACAGACCTGACTTCTTTATGGTCTGTCTCTTGACAGGACGTGGAAACGAGCTCCACTTCTTTGCCAAGATCACAAGAGAGTCCACCGGAAGAATCCACGAGAAATGAGCTACTTTTGAAAATCCTCTTCGCAGCGCAGGAGTGGTGTGGAACGGGAAAGAATGCCTTGAGAAGCTTCTTTCGGGTCCCCCCTTCAATCCGAAGGGAGAAGGTGGAGGAGGAGGAGGAAAGAGCAAGATCTGCTCGCGTTCAGCTCCAGCATTAACACAACGATGGAGGAAGAAGAATGACTAGAAGGAAACCCCGAGATTTTTCTTGGCTGGCGACATAACTGGAGAGAAAGAGAGGACAGTTTATCATCAGATGCTTCTTTTTATCCTCCTGGAAATAAAAGACTAACTCGCATCCGTCAGATACTTCACCATCTACCCAGGGAGAGATAGATAAGAGACATGAAATCTGCCATTTCTCGCGAAGGCTTTTATCCAAAGTGGCTTAAGAGAGTCCACAAGAGAGCGCAGAGAAGCCTGGGTGAGAGAGAGCGAGAGAGAGAGAGAGAGGGGGGAGGGGGGGTGGGGGTGGCAATGAGCAAAAAAGGTGAATATGAAGATATATTCTGCCTGCGTGCTTGATACTATTTGAGCCCACGCGTGTTTTCCAGAGCGCTTCCTGCCGTGGATAAAGAGAAGATAAGGCACAGTCAAAGTGAACAGGACAAGCGGCCGGCTGCTTCACTCTGCTTCACTCTGCTGGTCTCAGTCCTCAGTGGAGGGGCGCTGTTCTTTCAGCACCACGAGCCCCGTGCGCACACAGTGGACAGGCTGGAAAACCTACAGTAGCACGCGCACGTGCGCCCGCACACACACGTACAGCTGAGAGAGGTGACAGTTAAGGTTAAGTTGGTGACATGGTTAAGTTGGTTTTATCTTATTTTATATTATATAATTTATTTTATTTATATATTTATTTTTTGCTGAAGTACTTAAGTACTAAAAGAAACTTAAAAGGAAATAATTTGGAAAAATTTGGAGTGTGTCTTTGAGGCACAGAAAGCCTTTAACTGAAGAGGTGTTTTTGTTGTTGTTGTTGTTTGTTTTGTTTCTCTTTTTTTTTTTTTTCTTGGGGGGGGGGGTTACATTTCTTTGACATTAGAGTTGACGTATCCAGGAAACATCACTATGTTGCCCCCCCATACATAGACAAACACAAAGACATAAAAGCCTCCACAAAATAATAAATATATGGACATTAATAATTACTCTATCTGTTTTTCTTTTCTTCTAATGTTTTTTAATAATATATTTTTTAATAAAAATAATGATAATAATAAAATTATATATATACATATATATATATATATATATAGATAGATAGATAGATAGATAGATAGATAGATAGATAGATAGATAGATCTTTTTTTTTTTCTCCCAAGTCAGTGGAAGGTTTGTGTCTGGTCAAACCTCTCCACAACTTCACATTAACATTTGTCTCCCACACCTGCTGCTGCACCGCTCCCTGTTTCCTAAAGAGAGGGTCATAGGCATAAAGCCTGTGTGCATTAACCCCTCTTGCATGAATATGTTGACTTCAACAGCAATAAAGACTTTGCAGCCTGTCTTTACTCCCCACATTCCCTTCTTCTCTTCACAGCTTTTCCATCCATTAAAGCCAAAAATGCCCAAAAGCACAATTAAAAAAAAAAAAAATAGAAAGATTTTCTCGTACAGCTTCAATAAGTCTCTCAGATTTAACAGTTGGTTTCCATGGGAGCAGTAGGCAGCCTACGAGAGGGTAAAATTCAGGTTGAATTGAACATTACCATTCATATTTATTCATCATATTAAACTGATTTTCATTAAATGTAAAGTAAGAACATTTGCATTTTTCCATTGTCACACAGTGTGATAAATACTAAGAGATTACACATGGCAGTTAAAAGAGATATTTGCAGAATGTATACAAACTAATATTTATATTTCCTGGAGAGAAAATAATAGCAGAGAAATACAGGGCTTTATTATTGGACATGAACTTTGGAAGTAGACTTTGAGACCCAGCGCTAAAATGTTGAGCTCTCATTCAGTCATCTCTGAGAGTAATATTTTAATATATGTTTGATCTGGTTGTCCCTGGCATTGCTCTTGTTAGCTGTTGTCTAGGGGTTTTGACCAATCAGAATCTAGTATTTAACACAGTCATGTGATCAGTTAGAAAGCTAGGTTCCTATCCACCCAACCCCTGCACATGGTTCAATAACTATAAGCAGAGTTTACTCTGTTAAAGAGCTTAATTAACAACAACAGTTATAAAGGAGCATTAACCTTGTGCAGAGTGACATGGTACACAGGACACAGCAGGATCCGGCCTCAGTGAAAAAGGAGGGGCTTTGAAAACCACACTGCATCCAGTGTTTAACTTTCATATATGTATCACTACATCCACGTCTCATTAAAAAAGCATTTGAGCAGTCTTACCAACTGTACAGCTGTAGCTCTAGGAGGGAGTTTAATGAGTATTCATTAGTGTGTGAGCCCGGTATACCATAGAGTAAGCCACAGTGAGGTGGAACGCCTTGAAGCTAATTAACTATACACAATGGAGACTTAAATGTCTTTTTTCTGTAGCTTAATCTGACCAAAGCTCACAAAGTCTATGTTTGAAAGGTTGGAGTTTGGACAGTCGTTATCATACAATCACGAACTGAAATGCATTGAAATGTTAGGTCGTACAGTTTAGTTGTTAGTGACTCTTGGTAAAAGGTGGTTGTGATGGAGTGGTGTCCTCACTGATTGCGGGCAGCGCACGGAGCCACACACACACACACACACACACACACACACACACACACACACAAACACACATGCGTACCAATCATTTCCCTCCCCGACAGCATCGCTAATTACCTTCTAAACAGCTCCGCTTCTTCTTCTATCTTCTACATTGGATAGGGTAACCAAGAGTGCACACTTGGGCTCCATCAGTTAACTTAAACATGCATTTATATAGACATCCACCTCTCCACTTACCTGCCAGGAGTCCATTCACACCATCATGCCTGCTTCTGGTTTCAAACAAGCAAACATTGCACATGATTTCCAGGTGTAAAATAGATGGGTATGGCGGGCAAAAGGAGTCATATGATGCCGGAAAAAGTAATCCCTTATTGTTTTCCATAAATCTGGAAAAAAAGTCATGCTCCATTGATTTATGTGAGAACTTAGTTAAAATGGTAAAAATGTATAAACATGGTCTGAAAACCAAAACAAAGCTGCCTGGGCCTCTCTTGGAGAGAGAATTTAGTTGCAAGGAAGGTAACTGCTGAACTGATTTTTTTTTTATTGCTGCTGTATTGCTGATTTTTTTCTTGAGCAGGAATCTCGAGTTATTGTCGAACTCTTTTTTTTTATTGGCATTGTCTTTTTTTGCCTTGTACAATTTTTGTAAATAGTTATGATGGTGAGATAAAGCCTCGTGAAGCTTTCCATCCAATTGCTCGACTCCTGGGCCGAAGCTTCATTATTGTGCTTCATTTGCTCTACTGTTCCATCAAGTGGACAATAAATGTAAAACAGGCAAAGTGATTAAAGACACCCTGAGGCTTCGGTGTACGAATGGATGGATGGATGTGATGCCGTGTATTTGTAAAACAAAAATGATGAAGTTATTAACATGGTGTCTGTCTTTAAGACACAGTAGCAGGGTCAAAAAGGGGAAGCGGACATAAATTATGGAGAGGGTTGTGATGTGACTGTGCTTGTGTTACTTAGTTTGTGACTGTGCTTTTGTTATGGGGACAACATGGAACACGTAAAAATTCCATTTATTTTTATTTAAAAACAACAACTTTTCAACAAGTCTCAAGTCTATGGATTATGAGGGCTGACTCCATTGCGTTTCACTTGCGTTTTCCCCGTTATATTTTGAATCATCCGCCAAACCTGAGAATGGTTTCATGAATCAGTCACGTGGTACGGCCGGCTCACCAGGCTTCAAACGTCATCTCATAGGTCACCAACAAAAGCCTTGCCAAAAATTTACAGGATTACTCGACACACACCAGCTATAAATAAATTTCGACCATGCCTGTCTTTTCCAGTGTTTTTTGATTGTTTGAGAGAGAACCCCACAACACTAGTTTACTTGCATCATGAGTAAGGTCAGGCTGGGATGGACTCGGGTGACCCTTCCAAAATGGAAAGCTTTGGACCAGATGATTTATTAGATGTACAGGGACACTTCAATCCTTGCTGCCCCTTTTCTCAACCTGATGTCATGCTGCTCCTCAGTGGAGAAACACAGGCAGCCAATGAGCCACTCACCAGTCTGGAAAATTTGCAGGACCTCATCCCATGAAGAAGAAACAATCTAAACTGGAATAAAGGCATGAGTAAGCTCATCACAAACATCTGTATATATATATATATATATATATATATATATATATATATATATATATATATATATATATATATATATATATATATATATATATATATATATATATACATATATAACAACAGCTTCATTTCAACTTCAGTTAACATCCTTGTTATAGATGTTGCTGTTAGACCTGTTGACTTTATCAGTCATGGATAAAAAGTTTGGTACATTGTCATCAGTGATTGAATGAGGTGCATCAGTTTAAATAGTTTTTGCTCGGAACTATTGAATCTGGTTTTGAATGAATGAGTTATTAAAAACAAACTTCGGATGAAATGAATTCTCAAAGATTTGCATTAGCATTCATTTTTAAGGAAAACTTAGCAGTGTTCCGGGCATAGTTACAGGCTATCATAGCAGCAGGAAAAAGTTGGGCTTATGATAACACCAGCACATTCTTCAAGTTTTGATCTTGAGACAGTAGTACTTTAACAAAGTTCACTATTTCAGTTTCACATGTTGGCATGGTAACATTTGCCGTACAGTTGGTCATGTGGGAATTCAGTACTTAATATGAGTCTATGTGATTGCACTGTGCAGACACTACATTAAAAGTCAGGTTATAACCAACATTTAACCAGCTAACCTGAAAAATCCAGAACTTCATGATTTCAGGATGAGAAATGAGGACTTGTAAACCAGCCTAAGTGATCATTATTATGTCATGGTCATATTTGACTGTGATGTACTATACTTCTCATTTGTTTTTATTTCCTTGAGAGAATCTTCCATAAAGGATATATAAAGTTGTATCTAATCTTATCTAATTTAATTTTATCTAATCTAATCTTAAACTATTAAAGTGAATACAGACTGAGCCCAAGTACCATGCTGTGAGTAAACTCCACATGGTGGAAACAGATGGAAGTAGACAGAGCTATAAAAATTCTCAGGAGCAGCATGTTGTTGAGTTTATTGATTTTAATTGAAAGAAAGACAGTTCACTTTTCTCCATCACAGCTATGGTGATGGAGAAAGCTGGTTAAACTCAGTTTTAAAGGTTCTACACGCAGTCCATGTCCCCTGTGACTGGGACACAGTCTGATGATCTGATGAATGACTTTGATGAATGAGACTCAGCTGACAAAAGAGAAGCTACAACAGAAAGACAGAGACTGTGTTTCATCCACAGCCTGCAGTGCCTCCAAAAACAGTCAAGAATGAAGCTGCTGAAAGTGGGGAACATATTCAGACCACCATCTCAGATCAGGTTTAAAGGAGCAACTCTCCACTGCAGGCTGTGGTTGAAACAGGATCTCGTTGGTGGGTTGCGGACAGAGATGTAGCTGGTTAGCCTGTCTTGTTGAAATAGATTTTCTGAAAGCATTTGAACTTGAATACTCTCTTTTTTAAAATCTAGCTAGCATATTATTAGCTTTCTAGCTGAGCCAACTCTTCTATTAGCTGCATTGCAGACCAAGAGTAGGACCCACTCAAAGCAGCCAAGGTCTCTTTCATTGACTGA